AGGGTGTCAGCGAAGCAAAGGTGTTTTTGCTATAGCGATAGATTACATTATCTTTATTTAAAATGAGTAAGTTTCGAAACCACAAGCAGATACTCAATAAGAGCAATATATGGCAAGTTTGATCTTATTCGTTTCATTAACTTGCTAGATACGTATACTAGAGCTTAATAAATATGTATATATTTTAGATACCTTCAGACACGTAGTTAATGGGTTCCTGGTAGGTAGAGTCTGCATCAGCACGAGCAAAGTCATTTAGCTGGACAGTTGTTGCTAACGGGGGGATTTTCGCAAGTCCTGTCATGCCTAAGTGGTCCCAGACAGAAGTGACCGGTTTCAAAGTAGAACAAGGGACACCGATTAGACTCCGCCGCGAGGTTTCGGCTCCATTTGACTCATAGTTATCAGCTTCTTCATCCTCCGAAGAATCCACTATATCTATGTCAGTTTCCAGGTAGGGATCAGCTTCAGTTTCTGTGTAAACAGCAGAAAAGGCATCGTGTTCGAATTCTGGAGGCCTGAATGAGCTTGGCTTTAGTCTAAGAAGGAGATGGTCGATACGTGAGTGAAGATTAGCGATTTCGGACTAAAAGAGAAGAGACGATGTGAGTTAATGTAAGGCGGAATAAAAAAATAAATATCAAAGCATAGTGCTATGCTTATAATTTTATAGATACGAAGAGAAACTTGGTTTCGATGAATCTTCTGAGATAACATTGTTAGGGGGACCTTCATTTCCAATGAAAGTGCATGAAGAAGAGATTCATTTGTTGATCTCACCAGATGAGGGCGGATGAGACTCGTTGTACTGCAGCCGTTTGGTTTTTATATGATATTCATGTTGACACAGTCCACGAGTCTTCCTCCCTGGTTTCGGGTGAAAACGTGCTAAGCTTTCGTCCATCATATGATGGACATCATCAGAGCTGGGTTTCATTCTTATAAGAGTCTCACGTTAACACTAAAGCTTTAGTAGATAAGAAGACCAGCAATGAGTGGCCTTGGGTCTTGTAAGTCTCATTTAACTGTTTAATGTTAATTTGACCTATTTTTTTGCAAGTTGGTCGCAACGATAGGTAGATCTTGTATAAACTACTTGTTTCTGAGTCCTCTGAAACAGTATTCATGATAACTTCCAAGAACGGACCGATAACTTAGTACATTTTGATAAGTTGTATGTGCTAAGGATGATGCTTCTCACTGATGATGACGGCGAAACGTCTGGAAGTGTGGTAAATCAACGGTCCGATGCTGGAAATTATTATAAATATTATGACAGAGGACTCAGGACAAGATATATTCAACAAAGTCTCCCTATAGCTACGATCAAGTTGTAAAAATGAGGTAAAACCGATATGCTCATAATGTATTATTTAAGACTAACATTAAAGGTATTTCGTTTTGGGAATTAAACACAAAGCATGTTTTAAAAGTGAAACGATAATCAAGGT